TTCTTCTTCTTCTTCAGATAGCGAGAGAGAGAGAGGTTACAGGCAGAGATCACGTTGGGCATGGCGCCCAGGATCTGATCCGACATTTTGAGCCAGACATCGATTGGACATTCGGCAAAGGACTATTTTCAGACTTCGCTATCGCGATCTTTCCCCTCGCCTCCATCTTCGTCTCACCTCTCCCGCCATCTCTCATCCGCGGTATCTCCCCCATGTGCGTGACCAAGGAGGGACCTTTCTTCTATGCGTCCGGTCCCTCCTCCTCCTCTCACATGTGTGGTGTATGATGGGATGCCGTGTCAGTCCCGATCGGGTCAGGTCTTATCTTTGAGTCTTCCACTGCGCTACTTTGTGCCATTTGTATGTATCGGGATGCACATTGCTTGTTGATGCTTCACTGACATTGCATTGTCCATTTCAGTCCTTTTCATCACATTGCGGATCCTTTACTCCATACACATTGCCCAACTGGGCATGTGTCATCCCCCCACACGCTTCGGTTTAAGTTGCTGCTCCGGTCCCCCCAAAACGCTACTGTTATATTTCGTTTTCGTTCAGCTCAATTAGGCCCAAAGTATGCCGACACTGGAAAAAATGGGACCCATAGAACATCCAACAACATACGGAAGGGAACCGGAGGGGAGGCATAGTGACTGGCCCATCGAAGAAGCTCGGTCCTGATGCTACCGGCTGACCCCTGGCCGGTATCGCCCACCTGCTGTAGCAGGTATCGCACCTGCTGGTGGGTGTGACTGGCCCATCGAAGAAGCTCGGTCCTGATGCTACCGGCTGACCCCTGGCCGGTATCGCCCACCTGCTGTAGCAGGTATCGCACCTGCTGGGGGATGCAGCTCCCGCATGTTCCCTCGTTGGAGGCTTGAGCGCGGATGTGGCTGCTACGGAGTTCCCCATAATACTATAATGACAATAGAAAAGGCCTGAAAGGCCGTCCTGTCCAGATTCGACAGGTATTTGAATTGGTTTGGCTTAAAGAATTCGCCTTTTTTTCCCTTTTTTTTTAACGGTAAGTGAAATACGGTTACCGACCTACGGTTGCATAAGCTGCCACTAGACGTTTGATTCAAGCACTGCATTTGCGAAAAGCGGACACAATAACGGACCACAGAAACCCAAACTCGAATTCACACTTAACCACCAAACCCATGGTGGGCGATTTCCAATGGGTACATTGTCCCCATCAACTGGCAGTAGAACTGGTTCCTAGGCAAGCCAGTTCTCAAGGAAAGCCCGGTGTCCTTGTGCGCGACCACAAAATCCGCAAACCATCCAGTCGCAAAGCAGGGGCAATCAGCAATGGCAGGCTCCCCACCAAGGGTGCGCGTATCCCACTGGCATGGACACCTGGCCCTAGGATGGTTGTTTAAAAAAACAAAAACCAAAAAACGCACACACAAAAAGAAGTCGCAAGCAGGTAATGACCAATGCACAGTGTCCTACCAGCATGGCAAATCAACTGCTATCTAACTCGCGAAGTTTCGAGGTCCGGATGTCCTTACAGGCTAAATCAAAAAAATGTGCCATTAGCTTGCCCACAGATCATTCACACGTCGCCAAGCCCCACGTCAAGATGTTCCTTCGCCTGCATACGGTCTCCCCTTTCCTCATGTCGAGCTTCTCTCAAACCATCTGCTACCCGTTCACCAAATACCTCAAACTGAAATCCCGCACCAAAGCTTTCCCTGCCAAGACACATTCTTTTTCAAGAATCTCTTTGTCCTTATGAAGGACGCAAGACAACTTTCCTCCAAAAACTTTTCAAGCAAAGATCTTGAAGTACACAAAACCTACATAGTGGTAGCATTCCTGCCATGGCGCCTCAAAAGTTGAGAGCTTTTCACCAGGGGATGGCACCACGCATTGCCAGCCCTCCAATTATCTCTCTCCTCCCCCGCCCCGTCCTTGCCCCCCACCTCTCTCTCTCTCTCTCTCTCTCTCTCTCTCTCTCTCTCTCTCTCTCTCTGTCTCTCTCTCTGTCTCTCTCTCGTGTCCATTGATGCATGTAATACTCGGGTAACAGTATGTACAGAAGAAAGGAGGTCTGGGAAGAAGCGCATGACCAGGGCCACAGAAGCACCTACAACCGTGTATTTCTCCGCACTATTCTACATTCCACACCTCTTGTTACAAGAACCCTTATGGGAAGTAAAATAAAAGGATCGATGCTCGTCGCCCACACGCTCTTTCTTCGGCCGAATACTCTTTCAATAGCCCTCTCATCCTACACCATTCCCTATCCTAAACACTTCGTTTGTTCCCCCAGAGAGCCCATTCGCCTCCCACTCTGATTCTGTCATGGTTTCTGTCAGTTCGATTCTTTCACTGTAGGCTACCGGTAGTGCACCAAAAATGCTACGAAAGGAATAATCAGAGCCCGGTTGACGCAGCCAACGACGAGGTCTCATCCTTTTCATAATATCAGACCCCCAAACGTGGCAAGCCCATGCGAACGAGAGGTGAACTCTCGACTCACATCTTCTTCCCGCCTTTTTAACATCACTTGGGATCCGCTTTCAGAGACAGACATCCACTCATCGGTGAGCAGTGATTTTCTGCAAGTCCACGCTCATTTCTATCCGGCAAAAATCTTCAACAATTTCGGACGACAGTCATTCAAACTTTCAATGTTGGTGAAACTCCTTTTCCGCTTCTTCTTTTCTTTCTGAGGCAGGCCATACATGTGCGTATCAGCTTCCTCATGAGTCGGTGAAACTCCGACGAGACAGCCTGTCAAAGCGCCTCGTTTGTTGTCCTCTTCTGTCTCTCTGCCTACGGTTCACCGGGCAGTTCTCTATGGCGATCTACCGACAAATAAAATCGATATACTAGTCTGATATACAGACAAGTAAAACAGATACACTAGTCGGCGACAAAACCAAGGGAAGTGTCTGTCCGAGTTCCTTTCCTTTGTCACATCGCCGATGCTTTCTAACCAATGGGCCTCGCTGCACTACTCTCGAAAAGTGCAAAACGAGAGTGAATCTTCCGCAAGAATATGGAAAGATACACCGCCAATATTTTTGTCTTTTTGTGCATGTCGAGAGTAGTGCAGCGAGGCCCAATAGCATGGCCCGTGCACAAAGGCAAAAAGAACAAAATACATGAGATAGAATATTATACGCACACCATATCATCGGACCTGTAAGAGAGGTTGATCCCCTACCAAGTCATGCACCAGGACCATCATCCTTTTCTCGGTCGTCGTCCCTCCCGCTAATCGTACCTCCGTGTCCTCATGTCCTCGTGCTGATGCGATTCCCGCTTTGCCCGGAAAAAACAGAAACGTGTTGCGCTCTTGACACCATTTGTTCTTTTGCTTTCCTTAAGCAACCTTTCTTAATGCGATTCCCGCTTTGCCCGGAAAAAAAAGGAAACGTGTTGCGCTCTTGACACCATTTGTTCTTTTGCTTTCCTTAAGCAACCTTTCTTGATGCGATTCCCGCTTTGCCCGGAAAAAAAAGGAAACGTGTTGCGCTCTTGTCACCATTTGTTCTTTTGCTTTCCCTAAGCAACCTTTCTTTCTCAAGGAAAAACTATCAAGGAGAATCAGGCACACGTTGAAAGTTTGAAATGACCGTCATCCGAAATTGTTGACGATCTTTGCGGGATGGAAATAAGGGTGGAACAAAGTCGAGGTGAGATACACGATTGTGTTTATCGATGCTCGATTCCCTGGTAACACGTGGCAAGGACTGCTATCAGTTGGCCTGGGTTCTTTCCCTTTAGAGGCACTTACGTTGCCGTCGAACGACGTTGTGTCGAACATCTCCGTCGAGCCAGGCGTTCAAGCCTCCTTCTTGGCCGACTTGCAGCCGAAAAAAAAAAAAAAAAAAAAAAAACTTTAGGATAATAGGTCATAGCAAGCCAATTGATACCGGTTGCCAACAGCGCGTAACGACCTCCTCTTCATTCTCCAAACGCATCAACAAATGCGAAAAGTACAACAAACCAACCGATATTTGCAAGTGCGTTTGATTCTGGGAAGAAAGGACAGATGTACAACCCTTGACATAATCATCGTCAAACTCGCAACTCGTTGATTACCCCTCAAGGTGCATACCACTCCATTAACTTTTATTCATTCTTGTGACCGCGTTAAGACAACTATTAAACCCGGCCCAATCCACCTCAAAAAACCTTTCGTCTACCATCATACAACCCTCCTTCCCCCGCCCACCCTCCCCTTCCCGGTTTTGCGGTCAGAACAACTTACCCGGACGCCATGCTTTCAATCCCCGCGTCTGCGCAGCTCCTTCGACCTTGACTACCCCTTAGCACTGCCATACCCCATCGTTCTCTTGGGCAGCCTCTCTCCAGCATCTTGCCTCGTGACTTTAACTTTCCTCAAGCACCGCTTTTCTCTTCCAACACTGCGCGCGCCCTCCCCGCTCTCTCTCTCTCTCTCTCTCTCTCTCTCTCTCTCTCTCTCTCTCTCTCTCTCTC